AATAACTTTCGCGCAAATATTTATGAATCTGTTACTTCTGTTCCAGCTATGGGTTAATTAGGACTTAAAGCCCCTAAAATCAGCATTAGAGTTGATAAGGTATAGAAAACAAAATAATTCATCAACGAAAAAAGTTTAATAATGCAAGACGCCGCATATGAATGTATACAAAACCCTGCGTATGATACAACGACTTATATGATTGATTGGACGATTCGGGTTTTTTTTTTTTACAGATTATCAAACTTTTAAAGAATATCTAAAGTTAGAAAATATTTTTAGATTATAATATTTTTGTAAGATAATAATGATTTACTGATACGAGTTCTATTAATTAACGTATAGTCAGGGTGAGAAAAAATGGATTCATATATTTCCCAAAGGTATTTGAGCGTAAGTGAATGTAGCGTAGCCAACTGGAATTTGAACACGGCTTTCCGATTAACAATGATCCATTAGTGATTTTCCAAGCGTAGCTTGGATGTGGCACAAGGCCGAAAGTAAAGGGCGCCCTGTTAGGATCGAACTCACTACACATTCGTAATTGTTCTAGCGAGACAAGCTTGCTAACCATTACACCACCTCGGGGTGTCCCTTTCCTCGCTTGGATGTGTTACAAGGCCGAAAGTAAGGGGCACTCTGTTAGGATCGAACTCACTACTCATTCGTAATTGTTCTAGCGAGACAAGCTTGCTAACCATTACACCACCTCGAGGTGCCCGCAATGATTCAGTAGACCACCAACAGATTCAATCTTACAACAGTTAGTATTCCAAAGCGGTCACCAGTTGAGGTACTGGACAATCTCGAAGTTGTTTAACTTCGATGATCGTTATGAGAACCAGCGTTTCAACGGGAACCAATAATACAACGAGATATGACCCTTAGACTCAGTATTAGACATTTATGTTTTTTTCGATATGTAAGACAAATACATGTTGAAATAAAAAGTTTTAATTGCTAAAAGAGCAACAACACCAATCTACTCTATTAGGATGAAGGCCGGTTGCTTTTGAGGGGAATAAATATCTAGCATTATCCCAAATTCGTTTTTATCATTTTTTGTAATTAAAGTAGGCATTTTTTTATGGTCATGGATTAACCAATTTTTTTTAAAGAATTGGCTATAATATGGATGGGTTTTTGTGGAATATATAATATAAAATATTTAATTTGTAATTCTTTTAAAAACAATACAAATATAAATTAAATTACCTCACTTGATAACGCTAAACTTTGAATCAACAGACCGCGTTTACAAAAAAAAATCACAAATATCTGTTACATTAGTTTTTGTATTAGCAATTCACCCCTGAAGAGGAACTTGGATGTGATAGAAAGTATTTGGGAAAATAAAAAGAATAAGAAAAACTACGGCGCCTTCCTTAATGAGTTTAGGTTTGGTTTATTTTGTTTTACGGCATATCAACCTCAATGGGTTATTTAATGCCGACAAAAAATTTTTATTGCTGGTAATATTTTCTATTGTCAAAAAGCTGTTTCTAGTAATATATTTCCTACAAATGTGACACTATTTAGGGTTGCGTGAAAAAAATAAGAAAAAAAAGGCGAGAATTAAATTAGGTGATGAGAATCTATCACGAAATGACACTGAACAATGTTATTTTTTTCTAACAAGGAAAAGTGGTAAAGATTTTATTTTCATTACCGAAGAAAGTAAGATGCCGGGTTTAATTTGATTTATGACGACACACCGAATAAAATACAGCCGTCTACCCGTGGCGATAATGAAAATTTCAAATTGGTCGAGGGGCCTTCGGGACATAGTGCTAAGAGATAATATTAATTAGGTCATGCACTGACCGCGAAAAATGTCCGTTGGACCACCCGCAGTGAACAAGGAAGGAAAGATTAAACCTTTAGCTATCTGCGGAAATATCATTTTGAAAAGGCACCTGTTTTATGTCAAGAGCTGGCGATGATAGAAAAATTATTTTATCAGAACGAATAATTGGCACCAGGGTGCGAAGTCGCCAGATGACCACCCACTTGATGCTGGCGGAAAAGTCTCGATTGACGAACTCCAGATGGGATTCGGTTAAGATAAGAGTCTAAGGATTTGTTGTCGGGAAAAAGAAAAGAAAGAAAAGAAAAGAAAAAAAAAGAAGACAATTTTGTTTTTCTTTGAGCGATAATTAGCAAACACCTACGCCGCTGAACGTTCATTGGCTAAAGGGTGGCGTGAGCGGTAGGCGAAGGTAAACCATGAAGAAGGAGGGGAGGCCTGTTGACGCTCCCTGAAGGGATTGGGTGAGATACCCATATGAGAAAGGAAGAAATTGGGAGGACCATTCCCTTAAAGTAGAAAGTAAAAGATTTCCAAAAATGGAAAGTGATGGGTTTTCCTGACCAAAAAACAAAGAAAATTTTAATGCGGATTTAGAATTATCAAGGAACCTAAAACCCCGACAAGTCCACCCCAGTTTGGGTCGGCGTCCATATAAGCAGAGTCGCAGCGAGTGGGCGGCAGTTTGAGTTCGCAGTTGAGTTGGAGCTGAGTTTCAGTTTGCAGTTGAGCTAAGACCTCTGAAGACCCGCCTCGCAGAAAGCTGACTTGAGATCCACGCATTCTCGACTTCAACTTCTAACCAAGAACAATTTATTTTTGAAGAACGACTTAGACTCACACCACCAAAACAAGTTTTACGAACATCGCCTGAAGATACACCAAAACCAGTTTCTTAAAAGAACAATTTAAGATGTTAAGACTCGCCTAACAAACACAAAGTGTCACGAATCCATATAAGCGGATTGTGAGGAAGACGCTGTCCTGTATTCAGCAGCCAGATATAAAATATTGTTATCTTTTTTAACACATTTGAACTTTTCGAGTTATTACTTTATTTTCTTTTACATATACTTGTGCGGTACTACCCTTGTTCAACTTGCATTAGGGCCAGGCGACTGATTGATTTCGTCTACCTAAGATCAAATCACAACGTGGGTAGGTTAGACTAGAAATCAAAACAGTTACTTCGGTAACCAGACGTTGGAGGCGAGCTGGGAACAACAAAGCTGATACCGAATCTAACCAGATTCCCATCCGAATCAGCAAAAGGTTAGAACGTCACATTTGGTGCCGCGACCAATACCAAGTCATATTGGTCGTCACAGGACAGGATAGGACGGCGACGGCGCGGAGACAGACGGGGTGACGTCACAATTGGCGCCGCGACTAGGACAGCACGGCGGGCGCAGCCAGGCAGACGTCACATTTGGCGCAGCGACCCCGGGGTGACGTCACAGAAAATTGTATTGCTGGTAATAGTTTTTTTCAAAAATGTATTGCGGATTATAGTTAACTATTTGCCCATAGCTGGGATCCTAACAGGTGCTACCAAACAGGGTCAGGGTGGACCTGGGAATACCAGCAATTAAGAGGTGGTACCACGCTCCTCAACCCCCCACCACCACCTGATCAAAGGACTTGCTGCTGGACGTAGTTTAACGTCTTACCCAGGACGGCGATATAGTTTAACGTCTTACCCAGGATGATTAATGTTTAATAGCAACATTAAGAAACTTATCTGTGAATTTGAAAGGCTTAAAAATAAAAAAAATAAAAGGATATAACAACTCAAGTTTATTCATCTAAACATGCTTGAATGAAGATATGTCGCCTAAATATACATATTTTAAATATATAAATATGATTGCAGAGACGGACGCATGCCTACACGCACACAAACGCACACACGAAAACAAAAACAAAAAATACAGAAAAAACACTTACACCAATGCTAAATGTATATAAAAGTCGACAGGTCCACCTACGAAACTCCGGAATCGAATTGCTGAAGGTAACATCAATCAGCTAAATAACAAAATTTTACATATTTATATATATATATATATATATATATATATATATATATATATATATATATATATATATATTGAAGTAAATACTCAGAGGCGACAGACTGTTTCATGCTAAACACAATCATTAGGCCTGATGATTGCGTTTAGCATGAAACAATCTGCGCTCTGAGTGTTAACTTCAATGACCACTTTTATATTTACATACGCTCTATCTCTGATATTGAGCACTTTTATACCATAAATATCCCACTCCTTAAATCTATATTTTTTTCATATATATATATATATATATATATATATATATATATATATATATATATATATAGAGAGAGAGAGAGAGAGAGAGAGAGAGATAGATAGATATGTATATATATATAAACCTATTAATCATTGTGAGTTACAGTTGGTGCCATTATCAGTTCATCTCATAGGAATAATAAAATGACAATATCAAAGTCAGATTAGTATAATTAAGAATAAGAATAGCATTAATAAGAATAAGCATTATATAAGAATAATCATAGCAATAATAAGAATATAAATGGCAATAATACGAATGGGAATAACATAAGTGTAAGAATAGCACAAATAATAATAAATATAGAATAAGAATGTCATAATAAGAATAGCATTAATAAGAATAAGAATAACGTAATAAAAACAGCGTAAATAAGACTAAGAATAGCTTAAGAATGATAATAGCAAGAATAAGATTGAGAATAGCGACAGAATAAGAATATAAGGAATGAGGATGAAAATACTGAGAGTAACAGAAAAAGATTAAATAAAATATCAAAATTAAAAACTTATGAACAAAAACAATTTAATATATGGAAATGAGAAATGAAATAACTTGTGCGCCGTCCTATAATTTTTAGTTTTTTATTGAGAAGTAAAGGAGTTTCGATAGAGAAAATCTTGAAAGAAAAGTCTTAAAGAAAAGTTCTCGAGAAATTGAAGACCTTGGAAAAAACGGGGGAAGGCATTTATTTATTTATTTATTTTTCGAATGAATGTTAATGGCGACAAATTTGATAAACGTGCGAATGAACAAGGCGAGAAAAATTGATTCGGACCTGAAGCTACGTTTAGATGGATATTTCATGTGACATGGGTGTTTATGGAATGAGCAGTCAAACACACACACACACACATACGTAAGTGCTGACTGAGAAATATGAACAGATTGATAATTTTGTGAATATATAGATAGATATGGATAGATTGATATATGGATAGACTGAGATAGATAGATAGATAGATAGATAGATAGATAGATAGATAGATATGGACAGACTGAGATAGATAGATAGATAGATAGATAGATAGATAGATAGATAGATAGATAGATAGATAGATGGGATAGACTGAGATAGATAGAGAGATATGGATAGACTGGGATATATATATATATATATATATATATATATATAGAGAGAGAGAGAGAGAGAGATATGGACAGATGAGATAGATAGATAGATAGATAGATAGATAGATAGATATGGATAGATGAGATAGATAGATAGATAGATAGATAGATAGATAGATAGATAGATAGATAGAAAGAGACAGACAGACAAACAGATAGACGGAGATAGAAACGAATAGACAGCATCTGTTGAAAAAAGTTCTATGAAGGTAGAGAGTGATTGGGACATACATACATACATATATATATATATATATATATATATATATATATATAGAGAGAGAGAGAGAGAGAGAGATAGATAGATAGATAGATAGATAATTTTTGGAATATTATCTACCTCGAAATCAACCAATTACAATAGATTTTAGAAAATCCCTAGAGTAATATTCTAAATATAACCGTAAAAAAGATTTTACAAGCATGACAAACTACAATAGTTTAACCACTCTGATCTTCAGGTTGCGTAATTATAAGCCAGAGTTGAAGCGTGGTGGTTTGGTAACCTTGTTATATCTTTTAAAAACAATATATATATATATATATATATATATATATATATATATATATATATATATATATATTATTCATCCAATTTTAACATCTGCCAGCAAACAGAATGTTTTACGCACGTATTCTTTTCAAATTCAACTCTTAATTTATCTATAGTACCTTTGCCTGACATTCCACTGTGAACTTACTCTGTTGTGTAATATACATGTAACTCTGACCATGGTTTCTGCTATCATCTCTAAATTTGATCCTCACAAAGGATGTGGAATTGATGTTGTCTGCAGATGTCTCTGAGATAGGTGCTCCTGAACTGGCTACTGTTCCCTTTAAAATCTACAATAAATTCCTTGCTGCTTCTTACTTTCCTGTTTGTTGGAAATCCTCTTCTGCAGCTCCAATCTTTAAGAACCGTCTGATACTTTTAACTATTCGCTTTCTACCTTTTTTTTTCCCCAAAATACTAGAGGCCCAAATCAACTCAAAATTCGTTATGCATCTCATCTCGCAGTGTCTTCTTTCAGATAAGCAATATGACATTCTCTTCTCTAGGTTAATCTGAGGTATTATTGCCGAAAGTGTCGAGCTTTAGATATGAATAGTTAAGGGTTGTTGCTTTGGATATCTCGAGTTTCGCATACGCGTCTTCTTCAAAAGTTGAAAGTATTTCTGTTCGAATTTTGGTCATGATTCAGTCTTTCTGATCAAAAAGCAAAATGAATGTTGTCTTGAATGGCCACTCTTCTAGATCTTTCTGTATTAAAGCAGGTGTTTCCCTGGGCTCTATCGTTGAGCCTAAGTTATTTCTAATTTTCATCATCGAAATTCCTGATGCCATTAGTTTTTAAATTAGTATTTATTCTGATGAGACAACTATTTACTTTTGTCTCAAACATATGGTCAAATTTGAAGCTTATCTCAAAAATATACATATAGCCTGTTGCTACCTGAGGCAAGAAAGAATTTGTTAATTTCAACGCCTTCAAAAGGAAACTGTTCTCTTTTAATCGTCTCAGAGTACCCTATTTGTCTTCAGTCAACATGGCTGATGTTAACCTCTAGGAGATTGACTCATTGTGTCTTCTAGGCCTAACGGTTTTCACTGGCATGAAGTGGAAAAATTATGGAGAATCAATTGCTAGGTTTTTCTGTTAGGAAAGTTGATGTTGTGCTACACATTTCCCTTCGCTAGAATCTATCATAGATATTTATAAGTATACCGTTCGCCCATGCTTTGATGATTGCTGTCACATCTAATCTGGTATTTTTGCTATATATATAAGAATTCTTGAAAAGATCCAAAGAATAATCTGCAATGTTATCTCAGCACGACCAGACATATCGGCTTCAGTCACTTTCTCACTGTTTTAACGTAGCTTCCCTGTACCTTTGAATACATTTATAGTAATTGTTATAATGAACATATCTCTATGGTACCTAGATGTTATGAATTTAAGCGCATTACTGGATTGACGTCAAGGTCTAGCCATTTTACAGTTGAGTTTGCTATATGTAACCGTAAGTTCTCGGCTAACAGTGTCTTCTCTCGCTCTCCTCGCACTGTGGAATTCTTTTCCGCTATCTTACTCCCCAGTCAACTTTGAACTTCACAAATTTAAATGCAATATCAATCGTTATATTCTGTTTTATTAATTTATATTTTTTGTTATTCTTCTTGCTTCTCAATAATGTCTCCTTGAGACACTCAGAGAAGTTAAGCAACCTTTAACCTGGTCAGTACGCAGATGTGTGACCGCTCGGAAATATCCGGTGCTGGAAATATATTTCAGCTTTAAATAACCTCAGAAAGGTTGATAAATCGTAAAAATCAAATCAGTCATTCAATATATAATAAGACTAGATATATTTGCCCATGATCCAGTTCAAACTCTTCCTGACATTTTGAACAAGAGAAACAGTTTACAATTTCTTCCTGTTTAGGACTGGGTTTCATTTTCTTTCTAAGTTTATTTTTTTACTTCTCTTTCATTTTCTGTAACTCCTTGCCTTTTCTTCATTATAACCCTTCTTGGAGTGGTGGCTCTTACTCAGCAGCTCTCTAGCTCGAGTGGCTTTTGGGCCTTTTACGACGTGAAAATTATTGTATATATAGACATATAAATGCATATATCACGCTATGAATACTGCAGTCCACAGAAGCACCCCTTGTACTGCAGGCGTATCAGCAATTGGTTGTTACGGACAAGATAGCTTCATGTGGTCCCTTCTTTAGGTTGGCTTTGAATTTAGATTTTTATTTCTCTTACGTTGATTTCCAGTTCAAGACAAGAGAATCCAATCAGCCCAGCTATTTAACCCATTGACTGAACGGAAGCATGACTGAAACGTTGCACTAATTTCTCATTCGGTGTCACTGAACATGTTATATATATATATATATATATATATATATATATAATAGAATAAAATATTGCAAATACTAACCTTTTCCGCTACTGCAGATTCCACGAATGAAGGTTTCCTCAGGCAGTGAAAAAACCCGAGGAAATTGTTAAGGGTGAAAAAATGCATGGCTGCATCCGTCGTAACGCACACACGAACACAAAGATACCGAAAAAAAAATTGACACCAATGTTAAATGTATAAAAAAGGAAAAAAAAAGGAAAAATATAACCAATACATTGCAGATACTCCCTGAAGAGTAGAAAGACAGGTTCGTCTATGAAACTCTGGAGTCAGGATGCCGAAGAAAACATCAATAAGCTGAGTGACAAACTTTTACTCATATATATATATATATATATATATATATATATATATATGTGTGTGTGTGTGTGTGTGTGTGTGTGTGTGTGTGTGTGTGTAGTGCATAAATATAAATAAATTTATATTACAATGAATCATTCATACAAAAAATTAAAGTTAATGATATAAAATGGCGAAATCCCTTCGCTGATGCATTAAAATTTAAAGATGCATTAATCAATTTATATTATATTTATATTATGAACTATCTTTAAAATTTTTTAGCGAAGGATTTTTATATTTATATCATTATATTTATATATTTATTTTTATGAATGATTATAATATATATATATATATATATATATATATATATATATATATATATATATATAATATGGGTGTTCCATAACTTGGACCGATTTTAATGTGAATTAAGTTTAAGCGTCTATGATTTTTTTTTTTTTTCTTTCAGATTTGGCGGACATTTGGGCGATATACGTTTTTTACATATAATTGCCATTACTTAAATAACATGATCCAATAGAGAAATAAATAAATTTTCACCAATAACACTGCTTTATCTACTACTGACTTTGATCCGTCTTAATGAAACATCCTTATACATAATCCACCTTAATGAAACACCCTATATATATATATATATATATATATATATATATATATATATATATATATATATATATATCTGTGTGTGTGTGTGTGTGTGTGTAAATCAGTTAATTAGCCTGAATTGCAGTTAGTGGCTCTCTCAATTTATTCAATACAGGGCCGGTGCAAACGTCTTGTGCCCCCACCTCTGAATCTGTAATAAGCCCCCCCAAACTACTACGTCTCAATTTGCATAAGGTAGTATTCATATAAAATGCAAAATTTATTGTAACCTAATTATGCACAACATGGATCCTGTGTGTTGGAATTTATGGGTAGTACTAGTGAGCCCGCCAAAATGAGCTGACTCATTTTATAGTTCACCAATAGAAGGGTTAACCAATCAGAAGGCTAAAAATATTCAATGCGACGTGTATAAAGGCGGCCATGTTTTTTTTCCCGAATATTCACTGACAGTCAGCCTTTGATAGCAAAGACTGAAGAATTACAGAACAGCTGCTGGTAGTATTGGCGATATAGGCGGATTCAGTAGAGTGTCTGACTCGTGAGTATTAATTTTAACGTTGTTTTATTGAACAGATTACGTACTGTGCTGCATTCTGTATTCATAGACTATGGTGAACATGGTTAACACTGTGCACAATGTAACTAGAATCACCAACAATAAATACAATTCAAATTAAAAACATTTCATAATAGATAATTCCATCTTAAATAAATCAGCAATGTTTTGCGGCATTTTTTAACAACAGTTTAAGATTTTTCTTGCTAAAAGTTGAATAAATTTAGCACATTCAACATTATGGATAAAAAATAATGAATTTTATATAGCGTTTTTTCGAGACTTAGCATGAGCAAAAGAAATTCAATGATTTGGACAAAAAAGCCCTAAAATTATGTCAAAATACGCGAAATATATCCTTTAATAGTTTGTTGTACTTAACTTAATTTGTAACTTATATAAATCTACATTTATTTAGACAAAAATCAAATGTTAATAAGATAGTGAGGGTCATAAAGCACTACCTGGGGCCACCAATTACAGTTGCAAGGTCGATGTTTCGGGAGTAGTATGCACCAACCGTAATCCTAAATCTACCGGTTGAAATCTGATAGCGATACACTGAATGATATTTCGGTTATCCTAAATTGCCTTAATGGCTGTGTATTTAAGTTCAGTAATATTAGAGCAATTTGCGACGCCACTGTACGATTGAATTAACTTATCTACGAAATAGACACTCCTAAACATGGGCGGGTTCATAGGACATGTAATGTAGTTTTCGAAAAAAGACAACAATGCTGAGAAAGCATCTGAAATATTCTTGGCCTTTATG